AAAAAGACAAATTTGAGATTTATTGCTTCAATAAAGTTAGAATTACTACAGTGACCATCAGTTTCCTAGTATTTGAACTAGGAAATAGTTAGATACCTTAATCTGACTGACTCTCGGATCTCTCGAAGATATTTATTTTCCAAAATCTATGATGGCATCAACTTCATATGATTGTTTTGAAATCAACCACCGATGCATATATGGAACAGATAGTTCGGACAATCTTTTCCATTTTGATTTTAAGCTTCGCATGTAAGCGTATATTTTGCGATTCAAAGTCATACTTTTACTGAGTACTTAAAAAAATAATAAATCAACAGTGTCTTCATATAGTAGCACTTCAATGCAAGATATTGTAGTATGGTTCGCTATAATTCTTCATGGAAGCCGTATTAAATATTAAAATCTATTTATTAAATATTAAAATCTATTGATCCCGATGAAAAGAGAAACATAATAATACTACGACAGCTTTCCAAAAATTAAAAATTATGACTTCAAGAAATCATATACACAAATCTAAAGAATTAAATTCGTAAATGCAGTAAAAAATCACATACAGATAAGGATGAATTTGAGAATTCAATTAAATAAACGGACAAATAAATAATCTACGCCAGGTCTAATTCAAAATTTAATAAATGATTAAAGTTTAGACAATGATGATGGTTGAATAATTTAAAAAGACCTTCAACAATAGTAATGGTCGTGTCTTCGTCACAATTCTTTTGCATATACTTCAGTTCATCCATCTGATTCTTTTCTGATAACACGAGTTCCGTACACGGTGTATTTAAAATCTGGAAAATTTAAACCTTCAAAATAAAACAATCCACATCCGAAAACCGGACAGAACTAAAACTGAAAAATATTTTTTGGATGAAGCATTTTTTTAAAGCAAGAACTGAAACCCAAGTCATTCAAAAAATTATTGGTCTTCCACTACATCAAAAGAAGTTCAAGATACGTTTCACAAAGTAAAGAAAAACGGAAACATGTAGCTGCATAAAATCGGCAACTGCTCTGCGATGAAGATCCTTCACTTCTATTTCAATCTCCTTTTCAGTATTCTCGCCATTTGCTTTCTCAATGAAAATCAGTGATATTGTTTCCTGGGAAAGAAAAAGTTATACCATATATTCCAAACAAGTTACGTAATATGAATAGTTACAGTGATATGAATACATGAACTATGGTAGTACCTTATTTTTCTTATCGCAACTCTTAGACATAATTTTTTCAAGCTCCTGCCGTAAACGCTGAGTCACTGATTCTGCTGGACGACAATATACACCCCGTGTGTCATATACATCTTCATGCTCGTCCGATATCTTTTGATACTTATATTCAGTCTTGATTGGCTGGAAGAATTGGAACCAAAGATCAATAATTAAATTATTGAAATCTTCTGAGTTCCTGGTTGCAATCTTCTCCCAGAAACAAGTAGAACTAAGAATTGAGATCATTTAATCCAAAGGCTTTTTGAAAGATAACATTCGGGCGCTGACCGTTTTCCTACATCTCGATAGTTGATTTTTTAATAAGGTTTGTGATTTTAGAAGTCAATCATTTTCCTTACTAAAGATAATGCACTAACCGTCTTAGCCCCACTGTCTGAGCAAGTTTCTGTTGGAAAAGTGATTGATAGCGTAAGCAAAAGAAAATAAATTTATAAAGAAAATGTACCGTTATTTTTGGGACAAAACAACGGGTTCTTATATGACAAGTAACGTCAGCAAGTAACTGGAGACTTGAGAACTCAGAGGCATGAAATAAAATTGCACTGTGCAGTGAGTGAAGGAAATCGCTGTTACACAATCCCAACTGAATATTTGGTTCTGGATCACCAAGCAAAGCCTGCAAGAGGAGAGTAAAAAACATTGGTGTTAACTGAGATCACTTTACAAATAATGACGCCCTTTCAACATCAGTAGTTTCACAGTAATATGCCAGTTTTATCAATGTTCATTTTTCGGAGATGAAAACTCGTACAGTATATCATTTGCCGATTTAGCACAAAAGCATATCTAATACAGTTAAATATAGAAGAATCATTTGAAAGAAATATGCGACAAGTAATTTCAACTTCAATTACTCGAAAAAAACCCAAAAATTCTTTACTTTTATGCAAAATTGAACACCATATGTGAGCGAATCGATAAAATAGCCACCTTCCAGTACCATGCACAATGGTGATCCGATTGCGGTAGCAGCATCGAGAACCAATTTCGTCATCCAGTAATATCCTGCGGGACTTACATTCATATTTCCTTCTGGATCACCTAATAACAATAACAACAGATTTTTATCAAACAGTAGCTGGTACTGCTAATAAATAGACTAAATTATTACGGGAGAAAATAGCGATATGAAAAATCCAATCACACACCAAAACCAGCGTCAAATCCACATGATACCAAAATTAAACCGGGCATAAAATCGTGAATTATAGGAACGACAAAATGTTGTATAAATGCAATATATTCTGAATCACCCATACCAACTGTATTCAAAGGCACATTGATCGTATTTTTATCTGTAAATTCATCATCATTGGTTGCAGAGAGGAATTAATCAGGATAAAGTAAATATGATCCAATATGTCAAAACTGATTTAAACTACATCAACAAATCCCGCAGACTGCGAATACTGTTACAATATAACCATGAAAAATCAATTTCTTAAAATTCAGAAAATAAGAAAACTTGCATCTATGAGATATACCACTTTCAGGCAAATAGGGCCAAAACAAGCCATGTTCATAACGATGGATTGATATCAGCTTGATTTTTGGTTCATCCTCTATAGCATATTGTGTCCCTTGACCAGCATGGACATCCCAGTCAACTATTAAAACTTTTTCCACACCGAGTGCTCGGGCCTAAAAACAGTGACAACTCATTTCCATTAGCTGAAATGGATAGGAGAGTAAAATCATGAGCTGTATTAAAAAACTGCGAGGTTTCTATGATGCTTTCCTTGTTCAAAATTCCTGGTTCCAGGTTCAGTCAAAGAGCAAAATGTTGGAATTTTGCACCTCTTTAAAGCATCCATTATTAGCTGCTTGTATTTGTTGCAGGAAACATTTTTATTGCTAAGCACATAAGAAATCTTCAATGAAAGTTCGAATCCCAAACATTCTATTGGCGCTACAAGCATCTTAAATTCCTTTTTTTTAATTATGAAAGAAAATTGGCTGCTTTGGATACCTTCTTAGCACAAATAGCCACATTATTAAATATGCAAAAACCGCATGCTTTTTCACATGATGCATGATGACCTGGTGGTCGGATTGCTGCGAATGATGAACTCTTTCTGAAGTATTCAATAATCAATTTCAGCTACAAAATGTTTAAAAAACGACAAAAGTAGCTGGAAATCACATTTTCGGAATTCTTTATTTAACACTTCTTCGAAGTTCTTTATCGTTATGTAGACTACCTTTTAATGGTATTTGAGAATGATTTCATTAAAATCGGCACTATCCCACAGAGAAAGAATCCAATAAAAAAAATGTCCATAAAAAGATCCGAACATTCAGCAGAAGAATAACCAAAACGAAAAACCCTTCATATAATGCTCAGAATAGTTTACTGCATATTTTTCAGTAAAGAAGCTATCATTAACAGTGGGATTCACATTATTAAAACATATCATCAAACCTTTCTCCTTCAGAAAGAACAGCCTCCATAGCTTGCAACGCAACACCAACACTTATCGTAGCTACTTCGTAGGAATAATTATTGAAATATATATCATCAAAAGTTGAAGCGAGTTTTTCGAGCTCCTCCTGAATTTCAGCAAACCAAATTCTTAATTATACCGATCTCCATTAAATCAACATAGCATGTCGATATCAACAACTGTAGATGGCATTATTTCATCCAAACACGTCCAGAAAAGTTCAGTAAGAATTCAAAAAGTCTGATCTCATCTATCATTAGTCCACCAGACGACAAACTAAATGATGTTACTAAGACAAACTTACTATAAACTAGTCTCTTTAGACAAACCATTTCCAACTTACATTAGAAGTAATATCACTCAGTCACCAAACAGTAACAGTTACCCTTTGAACAATGTAAGTAACATTTAAATGACAAGGAAGGCCTCTACAAGATTCATCTCGCGCGTTGCAGCAATTCGTTCAACATACGTTCGGCTATGAACCAAACAAAGATCTTCCAAATCAGCCTTCCTGGTCTTCAGATGTGTACATCGATTCAGCAGACCCGAATTCTGGAATTTGCGCTCTTTGATATCATGCAAAGGCAGTCTTACCGTTTTACATGTTACCCTAAGCTCTCTTATTGAAAAAACAAAATTTTTGCAGTACATAAAGCTCCAACAAACTTGTCAAAATAATAGAAAATTTTTCGAATTTCATCAAACTTAAAAATCATATCAAAAACTCCACTTGCTACGAAAGAAAAAAAAGGAACCGCCAACAAAAGAAAAACTTTACAGACAGAAAAAACGTCGGAAACCTCAAGTTTT